GCAGTGGGGGAGTTGGAGTGACGGGAGGTTAGTGTAGCGGCTCTTACCATGGACTGTGTGGTGGGGAAGGGTTGCAGGTCTCGGGGGCGGGGCAGTTTGGGGATCAGATCTTCGGGATCCACGTTCACCTAGAGATGAGAGAAATGGAGATTACGGGGAGCGGGGACTCGGAACCCTCGTAGGGATCATCCCTCCGGCGTCATCTTACCCTCATCTTCCTCTGCCGGGGACACAAGTAGAGGTCCAGGCAGCGCTCAAACCGCTCGTGAATGAAGCGGGCGAATGCCGGAACCGCGCGGAGGCTGCCATGACGCTTGGGGATGAACGGCAACTTCCTGTCCTCAGGGTCCAACTGTTCCCAGGCCAGTTTCTGGGGAAGGAAAGAGAGGGCGGAACCTTTATACTGAGCATGGAATGGACCCGGACCAGAACCCCCCAAACCCTCTACACTGGAGGAACCCGGACCAACCAGAACCCCCCAAACCCTCTACACTGGAGGACTCCGGACCAACCAGAACCCCCCAAACCCTCTACACTGGAGGACTCCGGACCAACCAGAACCCCCCAAACCCTCTACACTGGAGGACTCCGGACCAACCAGAACCCCCCAAACCCTCTACACTGGAGGACTCCGGACCAACCAGAACCCCCCAAACCCTCTACACTGGAGGACTCCGGACCAACCAGAACCCCCCAAACCCTCTACACTGGAGGACTCCGGACCAACCAGAACCCCCCAAACCCTCTACACTGGAGGACTCCGGACCAACCAGAACCCCCCAAACCCTCTACACTGGAGGACTCCGGACCAACCAGAACCCCCCAAACCCTCTACACTGGAGGACTCCGGACCAACCAGAACCCCCCAAACCCTCTACACTGGAGGACTCCGGACCAACCAGAACCCCCCAAACCCTCTACACTGGAGGACTCCGGACCAACCAGAACCCCCCAAACCCTCTACACTGGAGGACTCCGGACCAACCAGAACCCCCCAAACCCTCTACACTGGAGGACTCCGGACCAACCAGAACCCCCCAAACCCTCTACACTGGAGGACTCCGGACCAACCAGAACCCCCCAAACCCTCTACACTGGAGGACTCCGGACCAACCAGAACCCCCCAAACCCTCTACACTGGAGGACTCCGGACCAACCAGAACCCCCCAAACCCTCTACACTGGAGGACTCCGGACCAACCAGAACCCCCCAAACCCTCTACACTGGAGGACTCCGGACCAACCAGAACCCCCCAAACCCTCTACACTGGAGGACTCCGGACCAACCAGAACCCCCCAAACCCTCTACACTGGAGGACTCCGGACCAACCAGAACCCCCCAAACCCTCTACACTGGAGGACTCCGGACCAACCAGAACCCCCCAAACCCTCTACACTGGAGGACTCCGGACCAACCAGAACCCCCCAAACCCTCTACACTGGAGGACTCCGGACCAACCAGAACCCCCCAAACCCTCTACACTGGAGGACTCCGGACCAACCAGAACCCCCCAAACCCTCTACACAGGAGGAATCCGGACCAACCAGAACCCCCCAAACCCTCTACACTGACACCCCGTTCTTACTGACATTGCTCCATGGTCACCTTCTCTGGGACAGGAAGTGAGGTGAAATCTTCAGATAATGGTTTCCCGTGACAACGGTGAAAAGTCAGATTTTGTTCTTTGGAAAAGGAAGTGAAGGGAATACGAGGCTCCTCCCCCTCCTCATCCACCCCAACATGTGCCCGGAGTTCCCCTTTAATGACACTGGAACGTCACCATCGTACAGACTCACCTCTTCCTCCGTCATCAGGTACTCCGGGGGGGGATTATACGACTCTTCGTGCCCTGGGAGGGGTAGTTTCGGGGCCGGCACATGCATCTTGTGTCTCCCCAGGATGGCGTTGGGATCCTCCTGCGCCCACAGATCATAGTAGGCGGGAGCGTCATCGCGGGGCTTCCGGGGGCGGATC